TAAGACTGACGTTTACGGCAAACGTCAAACCGCTAGCGAGGTTTTTGATTTTACAACTCTATTATAATAGCTTTTACACCAGTTTTGAAATATGTTAAACTTATTAAACTCGTGCTCTTTAGCAATGATTTAAGAAAGCAAATTAACCACTAGTCATGCCATTCACTAAAGCAGTAAATTAAGATTTGGCGTTTGAAGTTGGCGTTTGGCGTATAAATTTCATGCTTGAACTGCTACGAGTGCTTGTAGTCGTTAAAGCATGAAATTTATACGCCAAACGTCAACTTCAAACGCCAAATCTTAATTTACTGCTTTGGTGAATGGCATGATTAGTGGTTAATTTGCTTTCTTAAATCATTGCTAAAGAGCACAAGTTTAATAAGTTTAACATATTTCAAAGCTGGTGTAAAAGCTATAATAATAGAGTTGTAGAATCAAAAACCTCGCGCGCTAGCGGTTTGACGTTTGCCGTAAACGTCAATCTTAAGGTCTCTAATAATATAAACACAGCCCCGCTATGCCAGACAACCAACGGAAACATATTCTAATATACGTATCCTATCCTAATTTTCCTAGATGACATGGACGTTCAGTTGTCTTCACGCAGCAGTCATTAAAGACGAAAACGACGACTCCTTATTTTCATATCAAATTTACCAATGCTGTGCTAAATGTGAATTTCCAAACTTCTCACTCTGCACGCTCGCGGATTATCCGAATTGGCAGTGTGGGAGTGAGGCTTATGATTGCGTGTTTGGATGCCGTGATGAGGACAGTGTGTTGGAAGCTGTGATTTCTGCTTCTAGTCTGGGTATGAGCAGGAAACGAGAATTGAATATCACAGACACTCAGGTAAGGTATACATCAGGATTTTGGGCATCTAACTCGATATAAATAATTGTTACCAGGGAAATGTAATTAGCCATTCCGAAGTTGATGAGAGATTGAGAGGACAGGGGACGAGTGTTAAAAAGTGCCCAAATTAAGAAATGAACCCAATAACTAAAAAGACCACCTCAAAATTAGTAAGTATATAAAGTTGAAGACGTTTACATGAATACCCTTCGAATAATAAGCGTTCGAAAATTGTGATATTTACTATGAAATGTATTGTAATTTTTGTTTTTGGGACGCGCGTCCTAAAAACAATCTTTTTTAATCAGTAATTTCACAATTTTCGAAAGCTTATTATTCGAAGCGTATTCATGTAAACGTCTTCAAACTTTGTATACTTACTAATTTTGAGGTGGTCTTTTTAGTTATTGGATTCATTTCTTAATTTAGGCATTTTTAACATTCGTCCCCAGTCCACTCATCAACTTCGGAATGGCTAATAAGCCTATAGTTGCATTTTTCGCAACTGCTCCTAGTTAGGTTTAATAAATGTATAAAAATTCCACTCAAAATTTCCATCTACAAATCCCTTCAAGAACAAGGTAAGGTGGACGCATTTTATATTTGTAACACTGTACAAGATTTCATCGCTTTTTTATCATGCAGTAAGATTCCGTTATGTCCAGACTATTTTTTCGTACTACAAAATTCTAAGATCTTTCTATCTGAGTTCAGGGATTATTGAGCCCTCAAATCTTCAATCTTAATCTAGTGATCAATCTAGCCCTGCACAGACAACCTTGTCGTGTCATTGCTTGCGAACCACTGCTTCTTACTCCCTTCTTCTTAAACGCAGATCTGGTCCCAGACTCACTCAGGATCGGCTGTCTAGTCCTCCATTACTTTCTGTCCCTTGTCATTTCTACTGTCAGTTGCTTGATATTTAGATCTTCTTTCACATAGCCTATCCACATCTGTCATGGCTTCCTACCTATCCTGCCCCATGTTATCTCCGCTCAATAATATATCTGAGTAGCATTCCATCTTTTCTTATCACGATCCCATTTCAGCCGTAATGTCTGCCACCCCACATCTTCCGATCTCTTCATTCCATAATAACTCTGACCTGCTCCCATTCATCTTTTATTATTAGATGTCTATACCATCTCAGTTTTGCTTTATTCGTCTTCTCCGCAATATATGCCAGCCAGTGGTGCCACCCCACATCTTCCGATTCTTCTTATCCCTTCTCATTATGCATGTGTCCATAACATGTCATCTTTGCAATGTTTACTTCCACATTTTCTAATATCTCCATTCCATAATGTCTCTAACAAGCTCTTCTTAATTCCCCCTTGATGCTTGTCCATATCTTGGTTCCCTCATTTTTCAGCAAAGTTTACCACTTCACATGTTCTTCAGATCTCCTCATTCCATTATGTCTCCGACCGACTTCCTTCATCTCCTTCTACTCGAATTATTACCTGTTCATAGTATTCCAGTTTCTCTCCCCTTTTCTGCAATGTCTACCACCACTTTCATTCCTTGCAGGTGACTAAGGTAAGAAAACAATTACGGCTCTTACGACGCGAGAAGAAATGCTATGAGAGAACGTGTACAGTTACAAATGGAGTAAAAGATTGCTGCTTGAAAAGCACGTGTGTCTCACTCAAGAGCCTTACAACAAAACTAGGCAAAGCAAAGAAGAATCGTGAAAAACTGTTGAAAAAATTGGCAAAGGCAAAATCGACAACGAGATAGGAATGAGAGAACTGAATTGAAAACTACTTTTTCTGGACAATGTATTTAGTTTTGATTATAACAGTTTCGTTTAGTTCAGAATGGTTTTTAGTTTATCAAGAGTGAGCTTCCACACAACAAATTTGATTATGTATCATGCATAAATTTTACGTTACGATCGAATTGGAGAACAGCCTTTATAGTCTTTGTGCAAGACTCGTGCTGAAAGACAGACAAGCACACACACATACAAACGTGCATGGATGATTAAATTGATTTAGAAATATATAGCGTACCAATTAAGTTGTTGTAATCATTAATACGAAAAATATTAATATGATTTGCGGAGATAACGATATACGAAAGGTTTAATTCTAATGTGATTTGGGAGTGTACTGTATAAATGAAAACGCACCTTTACCATACCAGACGTTTTAGGCATGGAATGACTAAAAAGCGAAAAATTCTTATGACGCAAAGAAGCACAGGATGTCTAAGAAAGCAACCGCCTAGTGATTTAATTGATTGTCACCGATTGTCTTAGTGAGTACACGTAGAAGTTAATCTGCATGCCATAACCAAGAATTCATACCTGCCGTGATCATTGCCCGAAAAGCCCGGCTTTGAGGTTTATTCGAGGTTAGTTAGGTAGTTCAGACACATACCAGCCATCAGCTTTATATATTGTAGAACACAATCCAAGTAGGCGGAATTTGTTCAAATTTTTCGATCTCAACCAAGGTGGGAAAAATTAGCTTTGCGCGAACAAATCCGCCAGGAGGAAAACTGGCTTTACAGAGATATCACTTGATCCCTCTTAAATTAAAATGGACTTTTTCTTCAACAGGTGCAAGGTACATTATGTGATCGGCACATTTTCGAAAACCGTTTATTCATTTCCCCCATATATACGGATCTGCATGCCTTTCAAAGACCGTGGGTGGATGGTAACTGGGTGTGCACGATATATACAGTATAATTTGAGCAATTACTTTCGATAGTAATTAATCATCATCAGTTTAATTGTGTTAATTGTATTGAAGTGTACTCTCACGCAGGGAGGGGCATGCATGCAAAGTTGCATGCATGTAAAGTTTTACATTCCACAGATCGTCGCAGCCGGTTAGGGTTAGGGTTAGAGAAGGGTTTGGGATTGGGGATCGGTTTATCTATCTTATACTGATTACTGAAGATTCAACTTTAACTATATAGTCCATGGTACTGCCGGCCATTTAGTGTTCGATCAACCGTGAGCTGCCGGTCATATAGTCTCTTCAATTCGAAATAAAAACTACAAATTTACCTGACGCAATAAGATATACGTTGTTAAGTCTTGTTAAGATATAAGTTGTCCTATAACACTAGCATTTTACATTTTCTTGCTTCGAAAATTTAAGTAATGATGTCTATACTATTTTATAATTTTGTATTTTAAGAATTTCATTTCTTGTCTTACGAACATATTCTTAAAGTAAGAAAATCGTATTTTCTTATTTTAAGAAAATGTTTTCTTATTAAGAAAGTAAGAAAATCGTATTTTCTTATTTTAAGAAAATGTTTTCTTATTAAGAAAATTTTTTCTTATTTTAAGAAAAAGATATCTTGGGATTCAAAAATTTCTTATTTCAAGAAAATTTTTTCTTACTAAGAAAATTATTTTCTTATTTTAAGATTTTTTTCTTAAATTAAGAATTTTTTTCTTAATAAGAAAATGATTTTTTGCTGTGTAGTGTCAAATACGATGACGTATAAGGCGTGATTTGATGATAAATCTAATGCAGAAACTATGAATTTGAGGCAGAGTATAGAATAAAAGGACTGTGAAGATGTCTGCAACTGTGTAATACCCATCTTAACACCATTGTAGTGTTTTGTCTTGTATTGTATTTGTTAAGAAAATCTCAATCATGATATCTCAAGCTGGTATCCATGACAGCATGACTGTATTTTTGTTAAAATACAAAATACAATTTGTGTAGATGATTTAGATTAAATACAAAAATCACAATTTTAATCATGTTCACTGGAATATCGTTATATAATAGCGCAGTTTTAGGTATGAGAAATCTGGCTGAAGCTACAGTAAATTATTAAAACTGTATCATTACTGCAATAGACGTATGCATCAAAATACAAAATACATCAAAATACACTATATATCAATTGTTCACATGAAATTTGAAAACTCAGTGAGCCATGAATCGCGTTAATCGAGCACTGTAACTCCGGGTTGCCAAATACAAGAGTCGCAGGGGGTTGAATGGTTGATATAGGCACAAATGAATATTCGAACTCGACAAATAGCAAATCGATGTGCAATGTTTAACAAATTTAATATTCAACAAAATGGCCTTTCTACAAGTCACGCAACGTATTGTAGCCAAGTAGAAATTCAATACGGGTAGCAAATTGTAGAATAAACACGATGTGGGACTTGTAGGTTAGGCGCAGTCGTAGATTTGTAGGATAAATTGTAGGTAAGTTGTAGCACAAATTGTAGCGTAAATTGTAGCATTGGTACACTTGTACCAAACGAGTAGCGATGAATTCAATAGCAGTTCTTCGTACAAATACGTAGAAATGTCCCTTTTTCAAATAACTTGTAGCAATTACACGTCCTTACTCTGACACAGTCACAACTTTACTAACTCACGCTATCTAATCTATTAGGAACATATGGTATAGCCGTTTCCGTCCTGGTATCAATCAAATTAACTATATTGTTAACTAAAACATAATGGACTATTTATGAAGGACAATGAACTAATTTTAAGTAAGCGTTTCAAACCAACAAGCACGACGTATGAAAACACTTCCAAATCTGCATTTACATTTCTGGTTTTACAGTAAGTGTAACCTTGTCCAGTAGATAAAGTCTGTTACCAACTCCTATCCATCCTGAAGTAGTATTTTCATATTCTCTTCGTAATAAGAAAATTGGCCAGATTAGCAACGTGTACAAGACAAAAAAATAGGTACGCGACGCGTACATGTTCTGCAAAAAAACTTGATTCACATTTTGTATTTCCTTGAAAGGAACTGAATAATGATGACATGAGACAATTGAAATATTTCATCACTTATAATAAATATGATGGCAAATAAAATATATAATAGTCAAACAACAAGGGCAAATAATGTTAGCCAATCAGCGCGTTTGTTTACATTTTGCGTTCTTGACCAATCAGAATGCCTGAAATTCGAAACATGTAAACAAAAGGAGTGAGAAAATAACACCTTGTTCTACGCCCTCGGTGACATTCGATATTAAACTTTTTTCGCCAAAACTGACAAATTCTGATAAAGCATGCTTTCTTCTTTAATTTCCTCGGGGGGATTTTTTAAATTCGATCTAGAACGCGAAATATTTATGTTTGAATAACAGTGTTTCGACGCGCGTAAAATAGCAGACTCTCACTTGCACTATCTTTACACACACATAAAAAATTGGTAGATTTGGCAGTTTAAACTTATTTTCCCCCCACCACAGCTGACATGTTTTTAAATATTACCTATCTGATCTCATCGATCTCATTTCGCATCGGAAATGCGTCACAACGATCCAGGACTGACAGGTACAATATCGCATGACTCATTACTGTACATTAAAAGTACATATCCGGTTGGCAAAATGGCGATTGTCTGACAGACCTTCACGAAGGGCTTAATATTTTTGCTAATAAACTGTTCACGAGGGTTTCGTTCTGTTCGTCTTCTGGTTCGTCGTCAATCGTCATCGGCTGCCTCACTTTCTTGGTCGCTTTCGTCCTCTTCAAAGCAAGTCGCCGGGGCAATCAGCGTTAATATTTGCTGTCTTTCGAAGACCTTCCAAGAGCTTCAACATTTGCTAACGTTGTTGCTTCACAAACTGGGCAATCGCTGATGTTGGGCAGGATGCATTCGATGTGGAACGTAGGTCCACAACCACGGAAAACGTTCCAAATGGAATAACCTTTTCGCAGGCAGGCAAATCGCAGGTAAGATTTATATTTTATATAATTACAGATCTTGATACATTTATAGTCAGCGTCCTTGGTGATTGTTCCAAAATATGAGTGTGTACCAAAGTTAAAATATTACTCATAATCTCCAGAACATGTTTGGACAATGTTTTGAATCACTGCAGTTTAGAATTAGCAGTCGTTTTAAAGACAACAGAACTGGCAGCCATGGCACCCCATAACTATTCAGTGTACAAATACCAGACAATGTAAATTACCACCTCCCCCAACCCAGAAGTAGGCAGTTTTTATTTCCCAGCACTGCATAATCAAAATTGCTGGATTGTATAAATGCCTGGCTTTGTCTCAGTGGCCCTGCTTTGCCCCATGAACCCCACACTTCCTAGATTCAAGCAAGTGGGGACTTATATTGACTGGTACTTAGGTCCTGTTTATATGGCAGCCGGGCTGGCCCGCTAAGTGAGACAGCCCGGTAAGCGAGATCTCGCTGTGTAGTTATTTTTATAGTAAAAATTATTGTGCGTTTATATGAACAAGTGGGCTGGCCAGGTTGCCGAGATCTCACTTGAAAAGAGGTGAGATCTCACTTGAAAAGAGGTGAGATCTCGCTTACCGGGGTGGAAATTTCTCCATATAAACACTCACAAGCGGGCTAGCCCAGTTGCTGGGATGAAAGATACCGCCGCAAGCTATTTTTAACAACTGTCAAAACGAGCAAGCGGGATGAAATTTTCCCATATAAACACAAGAGAAATTCATCCCACCTGCCTGTCTTGCTAAGCAGGCCAAGCCCGGCTTCCTGCATATAAACAGGCCCTTAGTTGAATTGCAGCACTTGGTCTGCCTGTGT